TTCAGATTCAGAAGTATCATTTGTAATACTAAACTAAGAGCAAGGATGCTTCTTATTTATAATAGCTCTCTGAAGCATTAATTGGGTTTGTTAATTTGGTTTATGAAGTCCCAGCCTTGGCAGTAAGCTAGTTTCCTTTGGTACTTTATAATTTTGAGGAAAGAGGGTAATTGAGATTGCTCAGGGATTGAATAAATGTGATTGGTTTTATCAGTCTTTTGCCATTGACTGACTTCAACTTTTTGTATATTTTTTTCTCTTTCAGAGTTTGTACAAATGATGACAGCAAAGTGAAGACATTGTACAGAATGTGTTAAATTTCTTGTACAAAATTGTTTATTTGCCTTTTCTTTGTTTGTAACTTATCTGTAAAAGGTTTCCCCTACTGTCAAAAAATATGCATGTATAGTAATTAGGACTTCATTCCTCCATGTTTTCTTCCCTTATTGTCATTGTCCTGAAACCTTATTTTAGAAAATTGATCAAGTAACATGTTGCATGTGGCTTACTCTGGATATATCTAAGCCCTTCTGCACATCTAAACTTTGGTGGAGTTGGTCAAATGAGGGAACATCTGGGTTATGCCTTTTTTTAAGTAGTTTTCTTTAGGAACTGTCAGCATGTTGTTGTTGAAGTGTGGAGTTGTAACTCTGCGTGGACTATGGACAGTCAACAATATGTACTTAAAAGTTGCACTATTGCAAAACGGGTGTATTATCCAGGTACTCGTACACTATTTTTTTGTACTGCTGGTCCTGTACCAGAAACATTTTCTTTTATTGTTACTTGCTTTTTAAACTTTGTTTAGCCACTTAAAGAAAATCTGCTTATGGCACAATTTGCCTCAAATCCATTCCAAGTTGTATATTTGTTTTCCAATAAAAAAAATTTTACCCAACTGTTGCTTTGAATCTGAGTCATTTGAGGTAGAATAATTTTAGAATCAAATCTGCAGGTGGTTACTTGGTATAATTTAGATGTTTATTTTTATTTTTTTGACTAATGAAGATTGTATTAGGTTTTAAAATCATGATACCTCCTTCAGAAAGTTTAAATGAAAGATTAAAAACCTTCTGTAAATGTGCCTACTATGGGAACTGGTGTAAGGTAGATGTTTTAATGTTTCATACCTTTTAAATATATTTTTCAACTTTGCCACCTGTTTGTCCATATTGAGTTCAGCCATGCAATGGTTTTTTTTAAATATATTAAACACAATCTAAGTCTAGGGAGGGCGGGTCATTATGTTTTAAACTCTATTTCCTAATGTTTTACTTATTGTGCTTTTTAAATTCTACCACAAGGCAAAGGAGACTAACTTCAGTTGTGCCTGCCTATCTGCAATATGTTTTGCCAAAAAAAAAAAAAAAAAAGGTCTCTGTAGGAGTGAATTGGCAGTAACTAAACCCTATTTGTTAGTGCTTTCTCTATAATTTAAGCTACTCAAAAGGTGGTTAATTAGGGTTTTTAAAAATACTTAATGAGAGATTTCATTGCACACCGGGGTATAATTGTTAATTGATTATTGTAGCTTCAAGGTTTTCCGTTTGCCAAAGGGTAGTTCCATATGCCAGGTTACGACCCATCTTTGATTATTTTACTACCACTGTTACTCTACCAGAAAACAGGAAATTGAATAGTTAGTGAAGGAAAACAGTGACAAATAACTACGTTCCTGGTAGGACAAGGGAAATAACAGGAATTGATGATCTTAATGGTGTTACATTATTACCTATTAGGCAAATCAATTAGGTAGGAAGATCTTCATTAGATGTAAAAGTTCAGTCAAAAGAAAAGCCAATCAAGGTATTTGGTAGAAGAAGATTGATGTGCCTAGCTCTTTGAGGGATTTGGGCTTTGATATTTTATTGCAGTTCTTCATACTACTGCTATATGTAAGCTTGAAGAGGTTAATATTTTTTAGTTCTCAGTTATCTTACATGAAAAATAGGTGTAATATATCCAACTGGTTTCTCACTTGGCTTTTACATTAATTAAGGTAAAAAGCAATTAGCATAGCCCTTGGTGTTTGGAGTATGTGTTCCATTGCTGTGTCTCTGTGCTGTTAAACCAGTAGTTATGACCCTACAGAATGAGGGAATTTGGAAAAGTTAATCTTGGTGTTTTTCTGGTTTTAATAACCAGTAGTTTGGAGTTTAAATTGTTAAGGTGGAAGGGGAAACACTTCGGGAGTACTTTTGTGTATCATGAATGATTGATGTTACATTCTTGTAATGTTCACAGAAATTAGCATTATTTTGATTTTGCAGGAAATTGAAGCATAGAGCAATTTAATTTAACTGGTCATTGAGCACAAACTGGACTGGAGTTGTATTCTACTTCATACAACATAATCTTCAAACCCAGGAGTATAATTTTAAAACCTTCAAAACTTTACCATGTTACCTGTATTATATCAGCAGTCATGGTAATTGGTAATTCTTTACTTATTACTATCTGTAGCATGTTTGCTCTCAGATAATTCTAACAAAACCATCGCTATTGCAGTTAAAAATGATCCTAGAATGTAATTTTCATTAAAGATCTGGTGCAAAGCAGAAGCACTGCATGGTGAAATTCTACTTAGTGTAGTCTTGTATTATCAAAGCCTGTTACGATAACCTGAAAATACTTTAACCTTGTCTCAGTGGTATTGTGGCATTGTACAAATACAGTGTTTTCTTATAAGGCCATTTTGTTTATCCTACAGGCTTAACCAGTTTTATTGGTGAAGTCCTTGAAATCACTGACCCATGCTGTTTCTATTTTTGAAATACTCAAGCTATTTTCTCATCTAGATATTCCCTTCTGTTTCACATCTTGTATGGGTTTCTGGATTTCTCTGTACCTTCCATCATATTATTTTAGTCTCTCGAGTACCAGTCCCTAGACTGCTGAGCCAGTTTTCTTAAGAAAATGAAATGAGACAAAGTAATGGACTTGATTAATCGCTTACATTTATGAAAAACTCTGGTTTTTACTTGCCTCTTGGCCTTGAAATTCTTGATTTCAAAACTGGTTCCTGGTTTGTTTTTTTCCCTTCCTATATGTGTAAGGCTATATTAAGTGAATTGAGAATCCTAGGATTTTAAGAGAAATGAAGTTTTAGTTTTGCTATGCAAAAAACTGCCTACAGAATCACCTGAAACAATCTATTTTAACAAAATTTGCAGGTGTTTGCACATTTTTGAAAAGCACTTCTGTAGTTCATCCTCTGATTTTATTTATAGAGGGGGAAATGTTCATTCAATAAATAATTTAATCCTGCATTAAAAGGGCTCAGAGACAAAAACCTGTGTTTTGGATATTTAAAGTAGGGAAAACTTATCTAAAGGAGCCCTCCAATAAAGATAGGCGTGGGGCCCTTTGGGCTATGGGGAATTAGGGCAAAGGACTTTTCAGAAGAGTTGATCTTTAAGGTGTAAGCCTGTCAAAGAAGGACTTCCAGATGGGGAGACTTCAGAAGCATGAAGACAGCATGCTTTGGGTTTGCAGGCACAGTTGACCCTGGAACAACATGGGTTTGAACTGCATGGGCCCACTTAACACATACGTCTTTTCAATTAGTACATAATCGGCCCTCCATATCCCCTGGGTTTCACATCTGTGGGTGCAGAGAGTCAATTGCATGTATTGTTCTAAGCCATTTTATATAAGGGCCATAAGCATTTGAGGATTTTGGTATCTGTGGATGACCTGGAACCAATTTGTGGATACCAAGGGAGTATAGTTAAGTTCTGGGGAGTCAAAAGTGATGCATGGATTTTCCACTGCCTGGTGTCCGCACCCCTAATCCCGGGTTCCAGGTCAACTCCATACATCAAAGCATGAGCCTCTGATGAGGAAGAGGGAAGATTTATATAGATTGTAAACTTTGCTTTTGTCCTAAAGTTACTGATAGCCTGTACTTGCTGAACATGTGCCTGGTTCCAAACATTCTACTCAAGTTAATCATATTCACCTCATGGGGAGGTAGACAAGCACAAATCACAGCAAATGGCAGCAAACCTTCAAATCCTTGTAGTCAAGGGAGGAGAAAAATTCAAGAGTGTGAGGGAGTTGGGTGTTCAATGCAGCAATGACAAATGGAGGTAAAGTTAAGAGCTGAAAAATGCCCATTGGATTAAACCATTGGGGTGATCACTGGTTAGTTTACCAAGTGCAATTTTGATGGACAGGTATATGCATGTCAGACTAAGATGGTTTTAGCAAAGTGTGGGAGGTGAAAGAATTGAGTCTACTCTTGAAAGTTGTGAGAGGGAGCAGAAATTTCATGGTGGTTTGGAGAGTGGGGCACTGGAGTCAGACCTGGATTTGAACTCTGCCACTGCTGTATGATGCCGAGTGAATTGTCCGAGGAAGCGTCTTTCCTCCATTCAATGGTGGGAATTAATATGAAATATCCTAGATTGAGAGGAGGGTTTGTTTTTAAAGCTCTCAATGTTTATAGGTTGAGACTTTTCATCAAGAGAGGTGGAAAGTGAAAGGGTCTGTACAGATAGGAAAGGGTGGTCTGCGGTTTCACAGTGAAGCCTTTATGGTCTAGTGCTCACTCCATTTCGGGCAAGAGAAGTGACACCTAAAGGACTTTTATATGAAGGTGCTTAGAAACAATCTTAGAAAGTGGGCGTTAAGACTGATTTTTGCCTTAAAGCCAAGTACGCCTCCTAACTCTTTGTTCCCTTTCCTGGGGGTATGGGATTGTGGGTGATTTACGAAAGGGCTGATGGAGATGATGGTATACTTAAACCTTCACAAACCGCCTTTGAAAGATCTTGGTGCAGATACTTACCTGAGGGCTTTCTGGCGACTCTCCAAGTGTGCGTGTGCATCTTAGCGCGAGGCTAAGCGCGCGGAACTTCAAAGTCTGTGCCCACTTCCCCTCCCCCACCACTGGAGAAAAACTTGGCTGGCCCTCTGCGCATGCTCGGGAGCGAGTGGCCAGAGGTGCCTCCTGGCAACCAGACGCCAGTCTCGGCCTAAGGACTGAGGAGGTCGCAATGGACCAGCCAGTCATCGGCATCACCTCCACCGCAGTAAGGGAAGACCGGACTTGGCAGTTCGGTGGTGATGGCTTGGTCCCGCCGCCCTTGTTGTTGCTTCCAACTACCGTTTCCATTCAGGCTCGGCTCTTCCACCCCAAATTCCACGTCTCTAATCTGGGGCCTTTGAACGCCCCCTGTTCTTTCTCTGTTCTCACCACCTTGTGGTCCTTCTGATCTTTATTTGAGCTCTACTTCGTTTTATTTTCTCTGCCCTTGCTATTCCCTTATCCTTACGATTCGCTCTTTGTTTTCTGAATTTATTCCCTCCTTCCCTACTGCTACTGCCTGGGACAACTGCTTTTAATAGGGTGATTTGATTTCTTTTTCCCCTGTTCATCGAGAGAATTTTTTTCCCTTTTGGTCTATGGACATGTTTTTGAGTTTTAGTATAAAATATTTTTAGCTATCTTTGTTTAGTTTTTAATGGGTGAGGGACGTTTAGCTTATCTTTTGTGAAGTGATTCACCCCTAAAGCGAATTTGAAGTGGTAGGTTGGGTGGAGTTTAGATCACCTGCCTTGGGCAAAACAAAACAGCAGCTGCCAGTTACTTTCCTTTGAATATATCATGTTTACTTCTCCCTTGTCCTTCCCAGCTCATTTTCCTGGCCCAGGTAAAGGTGGGAGACCTGTCATGACATGCTTGGGAAAGTTTGATTTCTGTAACTAAAAATAAACACCAGAGAACATCCAATATAAATCTAATAAAGGGAATATATAGGAAGACATTGAAATCAGGATTATGAAACACTGTTTTTTAGAGAAATGCTTGTATTTCATAGTAAAACTAAAGCTAGGGGTACTCATAAGTATAGTGGATATAAGTTGCTAGACAAGAACAATGAATTGTATCAGCTTTGCTGATTCAATTGTTTGTTGTTTTTAATGCATTGTTCCTTGAGATAACCCATATTTTGTGCTAATAACAAAAGCATTATAAGTGAAAGTAGAAGTCAGTATTTTCATGATTTTACCTAGTAGGAATAGCACAAAAGGAAAAAAAACCCCAAAACTGAACAACTATGTTCTGTTAACAGTGAGGCTGAATCAGATATGGAAAAATAATAAAAGGGTATAGAGTACTTATTATGGAAGACAAAAGCATTCTTGGAAACTGAAGAATACCAAAATAATCTGCTTCTGAATGTGGCAGATGAGATGTTCAATATAAGTTACCACATTATTGAGCACTGGTTGTGGGTGCAAGTGTTTATATGTACAATACCTTATTCTCATACCAACCTAGTATGCCTTATTTTATTCTCCTAAGAGGAAGCGGAGGCTCCTGAGGGGTAAGTAATTTGCTTAGTTCTCTTAGCTAGTAAGTGGCAGAACTGGAGTTCAAGTCTTAGTCTGTCTGGCTCCCGTATCATCCTGACTCTTCGGTGCCACACCCAGCTGGACAAGCTGAGGAACTGGCTATATCATATTTATATGATAGATATTTGATAATGTATATTAATTTAGGAAATGGCAATTGACAACGTGTGCCTTATCTCCTGGAATTTTTATCCCAGTATCATATTAATCTGATGAGTTCACACGTTGACCTTGCATTCCAGCACAATCACCTGAGCCATAAATCTTTTTTTAGGGTAAACCATCCAAGCAGTTTTTAGTCATTAATATTCATAAATGCGCACAGAAGCTTCACTAGAGATTTAAATCTTCCTCTTCAGTTTGAATGTGGAGAGGCTTTTGCACGCTCAGGTACAGGAAGCAGAGAACACCCCTGCACTGCTACCTGCATTTCCCTGTTAGAAGTAAAAATCAGTTAAGTGAAAATGATTGTCATATATTTTCTCTCTTCCTCTTGAATGTACACAAATAGCAAAAGTGACAGACCTAAAAGTACAATCACAAAAAAAAACCCAAGAAAATTTTTCACCTTCAGTGGCAAATACAGCACAGAAGGTATTGTTTGCGAATTGGGCCGTCATCAAACAGGAGGGGATGGAGGCTCATTGCCCTTATTCTCTTTTCAATAGAGATTTTCTAAAGCATCTAAAACATCTAAGGGCATAATATCTATGCAGTCCTTGACACCAAAATCTGCCATGTCCTCCAGTTCATTCTCATCTGAGGACAAGCTCTCTTCACCTATTATAGTGGACAAAAGGACTGAGCCATACATCTTAATAGCAATTATGATAATACAACTTTGGATTTATGTAACTTGTTTCTTCTCAAGAACACCAAATTTTGTCACATCTAATTATCCTTATGGCATCTCTGTCAGATGGGAATGCCTATTGCTCTAATTACCCCAAAGAGAATTTAGATATTTAAAAACAGTTAATATAATAAAAATATCAATTTAAAGAAATATGACAGGCAAAACTGATAATAATATAGCTTTTATTCAGACCGATGTGGTATAGGTATTAATTCAAGTAAGTAGTTTATAAATTATATTTAACTTACAGGGAATTGCCTCTCAAATGAATAAGCATATTTTATGTTTGTTAATAGAAACCAACCCAGAAGACAGCATCTTTTGAAAGAGAAAGATGGTGGAGAGCAGTATTAACGGTATGTATATTTTCACTCTTTTCTTTTCATATTATTCCTATTAATATTTTAATCAGCCTTGCCTTTCAAGTCACTAACACGTAATTCGTAAGAAAACAGTGGGCCTTACTTCATACTTGTAATTTCAGTTTTAGCAAGTGAATGAGAAACTTTTTTCATTTAAAAGCTTGGAAAAGTAAAACAACTCTAGAAATCTGGTTGCTTTACAGAATATCTGGATAAAATCAACCCAGTTTATGACCTTCATAACATTACACAAAAAAGGAAAAAACATATTATGCAGAGGTTTTGGGTTTCAGTTTTTATCTTGCTTAGATGGCATAGAGCCTGTGATAATTTTTTTGTTAATTAATATGGTCAACATATGAAAGCAAGATGGTAATATATAAAAGTAAAATAACCAGAAGATCCACTTCTCAAAAGACATTGTTTCTATATTGCAGAAGTATTTCCTATCCACACCCTGCAATAACAGAGGGGCCCCATGGGCCAAAGTTTTCTTGGAATTGAACTCTTTTTAACAGGGCGGCTGAGCTGAGTACTCAGTGGAAAGAGGGCCACAAAAGCAGCAGTGACTCAACTTTCAGGTTTGGCCATTTAGCCACATTGTGGCAGGGATTTGAAAGTACCAAACCCCTTATTGGACTAAGTAGACAATATGCTCTGCCAATTCCTCCTCTGCCTCCTGTTACTATCCTGTAGCTTCCCACTCAAGGGCTATACAAAAAACATGTAGCTTCTACTAAGCAGAGGCAGGATAACTTTTATTTAGTCAAGAAACATCCTGAGTGGTCTGACTAGAGGCCTGGGATTTAGAGTCAAATTGCATTTCAAGTTTAGGTGTCCATGAAGCTGCTATTTCAAAGAAAGTTAAAATTTCAACTATGGCCATAATCCATTTGCTATAACAACTCAGCAGTTGTCTCAGAAAGGAAATAATTATTATTCTCTTGAAATACGGTTCTGTCCAGAGCACTTACTCTATTTAGGTAGGATTTTATTAAACTTTCAAACAAAGAGAAATGCCACGTAGGAGTGACCCTTTCAAGAATGCAGCTTTTGCAGATGTTTGCCAGTTTACACATTGATCTGAAAAATGATGTCAATTTTTCACAGACTACTCCTGTCCCTGGCACTTACCACTTGAAAACTTTTATTGAAGAATCCCTATTAAATCCTGTGGCAGCAACCTATAATTTTAAAAATGAAGGAAGAAGAAAACCACCTCTTGTGCAAAGAAACAATCCAGTACTAAATGACCTTCCTCTGTACGTGCCTCCTGACTTCTTGGAGTTGTTGAAGAAGCAAGTGGTCACTTATTCATTTAAAGACAAACCACGGTCAGGCCCCAGCACACTGGTTTACAAAGATCAGGTAAAGCGCTACTAACAACTGGGTTTTTGGTGCAAAGGCTACCAAGAGCCCTGAGGAAAATATTCTATATAACTTAGAGCATGTCTTCCCCAGGAGGAATTGACAACCTTTAGGATGCCTTGTTTGCTACAGAAGTCAAACAAGGGCTGCCTAATTTGCAAATACAGGGTCTGGCACAAGTAGCGCCCCTTTTTAATGCTAAATTTATTACAAAATCATAAGCATGTAATTCTGTAATATAACAATATAACACTCAGGCACACCATATGACATTTTAGGTGAAGTGTTCAAGTTAAAACTATAAATCATTACACCCATGTTATTACCCTCCCAACCACACTCAAGCAGGTGTCACTTCTGCCGGACCCTGTATGTTCAGCAAGATTTTTCCCTGGGAGGCCTCCTAAACCTAAGGAGAGGACATGGGGGAAAATATTCCCTCTGCAGGGAACTTTGGTATTCCCCCAACTGGGGGAGCCTCTGGGATCTTATCTGTGTGATTGTGCCACGCTTCTGGTCTCTTTAAACAGTTTACAGAGCATACCCTCTTCTTTTAAAACTCTGTCTTTCAGTGAATAAGTAGCCATATTAGAGCATGAATATAACCATATACCATAGGAAAGCTTTTTCCAAAATTTCTTGTGGAAATGAGCCCCGCGGTACCAGGAAAGTAAGATTCTACTCTCAGCTCCACCAGTTCATTCATAACATCAATAATATAGAGCACTGCTATGCTTACAGACCTGTGCTAGGCTCTGTGGAGGGAAGATGTTCCTGATTCGGAAATATTAAGTAACAATTCAAGAGCAAATATAGCAAATGCTGAGATAAATAGCGTAGCAGGAAACGGCAGGAGAAGAGCGCAGTGTAGGCTGGATTGAAAAGTTGGAGGGTTCCCTGGATGAAGTAGGATGAACCTGCTATGTATAGTCTCTTAGCAGTTCTTCCCAAGCATTCTGAAATAAACAGAACAGATGTTATCCCCATTTTACATGCAAGCAAACTGAGGTGAATGGAGATTATGTAACTTGTTCAGGGGTACATAGCTAATAACTAGGGGAGGCAGTACTTTTAACTGAGAGCTTTTGACCCTAAATTTGGTGCTCTTTCCAAACTCCCCTGTGGCTCTGGCCATGAATGAGGGGCAGGGTTTGGATGGGTGGAATCCAAGAGCTGTGTCTTAAGAGAGGGGCCTAGCACTGTCAAGTGTCTGTTTAAGGGACAGAGTTGTGACTTGGACTTTGTTACTTAGGATTTTGGCCTTTAATATCTCCCATTTATAATGACGCTAGTAATAATATCAGTCTTCACAATCTTATCAGAATATTGTTGAGATAATATGAGAAGAAATGCATTGCAATTGGAAGTTGAATTAAATACAAGTGGTTGTGGTTATCAGGATGGACAAGAATTTTTCCGTGGAATGAGTGCACGTTGTATCCAACATGTAAACCCATCTTACTGCTTTTCAAATTACAGCTCTGAAACAGGACAGAATGATAAAAGTTCAATGGGTAAATCTCATCGTATTCATTTCAGGGGATGAAGAGACGCACTAAGTTAGGCTTACACTATCATGGCGGGGTATCAGGTCACCGAGCTTCATGTGAAATCGTTCTGGCCACATCCAATGCAAAATTATTCGTCCTCATTCTCCTGCATCGTTTAGTGCCCTTCTGCTTCATTTCATCTTGTTTTAGGGGTTTCTGAGGGTAGGCCAAGGCTCATTGTCCAAAGGAGAAAACAGAAGGTTGGTATTAGGCAAAATTTAAAGCTTTAAAAGACCAAAAGAATTTGGCTTACCCCGAGGGATGAATAAAACATGCTGAAAACATATTTTTTGTTTCTTTTCTTTCTCCTCTCTCTCTCCACCTCCCACAAAGGACTGAGCTCCAGAAATTGGGAGAATGAAATGTTTTCCTAATTTTCTGTTTCAAAGAAAAATGTTCACAGAGGAAAGATATCCAGATGTAACATTGTTTATTCACCAGTAAAACTCATGACTTGTGTTTTTTTTTTTAATAGCAGAATTCAGTAAAATAATAATCTGAATTTGAGGAAGATAGAGTATACATTATTATTATTTACTAAGATAGAGTGAGCCCTGGTCTAGTGGCTCAGTTGGTTGGAGTGTTGTCCTATACACCAAAAATCTGTGGGTTCAATTCCTGGTCAGGGCATATACCTAGGTTGCGGGTTCAATCCCTGGTTGGGGCGAGTATGAGAGACAACTGATTGATATTTCTCTCTCACATCAATGTTTCTCTTTCTCTCCCATCTCCTTCTTCTCTCTCTAAAATCAATAACTATATCCTTGAGCGAGGATTAGGGAGAAGAAAAAAAAAAGAATGACATTCTTTCAAGCTTCATAATTTTAATACATAATTTTTTACTTTATACCTCATTAGGGCTCTTTATTATTTGTACGAAAGTTTTCACTATTTTAACACCTTTATTCTGAAGCATGTAACTCAGCTGGAGAATCTGTATGAGAATTTTATCATGTATGTGTACCGGAATGTATGCGTGTGTGTATGGAGGTAGGGAGGTAAAGGGGGCCAAATGTATGGTGACAGAAGATGCTGTGACTTTGGGTGGTGGGCACGCACAATGCAGTATACAGATCATGTATCATAGAAATGTACACATGAAACCTGGATATTCTTATTAACCAATGTCATCCTGAAAAATTTAATTTTAAAAAAACAGTATTTGAGATGGCCCCAGAATTTTTACAATAATTTTTTTCTTATCAGAGAAATAATACACTTTTATTGTAGGATATATGTATATGTACCAAAGTGGCCCAGCTCTTTCCATATAAACAAGGTCTGTCCAGAAAGTATCCAGCCATGCACTATGAAAAAGACATTTATGGAAGAAGATACAAAATATAAGAAGCATTGTACATAAGACAATGACACCTCGGTCCTCTTCAAAGTAGACCCCTTGGGACCTCACACAGATCTCCCAGTGTCTCTTCCACTGTTCAAAACATTGCAGGATCCTTTGTTGGAATTGCCATTAGCTGTCTAGTATTTTCCTGAATCTCATCGATGGTCTGAAATCTCTTCCCTTTCAAGGGTGATTTTAGTTTTGGGAAAAGCCAGAAGTCCCAGGCAGCCAACTCTGGGCTGTAGGGGGGCTGAGTCACCTGGGTGATTTGATGTTTTACCAAAAAACTCTGCAGGGGATGTGATGCATGAGTGGGCATGTTGTCGTGATGAAGCTGCCAATTGCCAGTTGCCCACAGCTGTAGCTGTTTTCCTTGCATTACATTTCCCAACCACCGAAGAACATTGGGGCAGTACTCCATATTAATTGTTGGGTCTGGAGGGGTGTACTCATGATAGACAATACCTTCCCAAATAAAAAACACCACTAACCTGGTCTTGATCTTGCTGTGATTTTGCTGTGTCTTTGGACGTGGACAAGGTGACTTCCATTGGGACAACTGGGCCTTTGTTTCCAGATCATAGTCATAGACCCACGATTCAGCTCCAGTTATGACCTTCTTAAGGAAATCTGATTCATTGGCAGCAGTTTGAATCAAGTCATTAGCAACTGCAGCATGATGTTCCTTCTGCTCTGGTAGCAGAAACTGGGGAACAAATTTTGCCACAACACATTTCATGCCAAGATCTTGCATCAAAATCTTGGAGACAGTGGTTTTTGGAATCCCCAGATCAGCTGCTAGTTCTTGCACTGTCAGCCGCCGATCTTCATTTGGCTGCAGCCTGTACACATTCAACATTTTCAGGTGTTCGGCTTGTTGCAGGCTTTCCAGAATGTAGATCACTTTCAACAGATTCTCGACCATCTTTGAAGCATTTGTGCCACATTTACTTGTGCTGCACTCGTTGCATCGTCCCAGAAAGCCTTCTGAATCATCCGAATAGTTTCCGCAGAGGAATGTTCAAGCTCAATGCAAAACTTAATGCAAATTCGTTGCTCTACTCGCTTAGTCATTTTGAATGCGATGGCCACACAGTACACATGCTCACCCGATGGTGTGTACCATCCCCACTGACTAGTACAGCGAAGTTGTCATTGTTCACTCATACATATTCCAGTCCGCTCCCCTTGGCTGCCAGGTTACATCGATGTTGCACAAATTGTTCCCCTTCTATTAACAATGCCTGGACTTTTTCTGGACAGAGCTTGTATATAGTTTTGTGACCTGATTTCCCCCCAATATTGCAGTCATCCACCAACCCCAGGGTTAGTCCCCCTTTTTTCTGGATGATTTTAGCTTACTCTGCTGTCATTCTTTCCACTACCCCTGCCGTGATTTCAGTTCAGATGTAGATGATCTTTCAACAATCTCGCTTCTCTGTTTCTTGAATTCTCCTCTACTTCAGCCATTCTCTTCTTAGATTCTTTCCAAGACAATCATTTCAACACTGCATAGTCTGAACTGCATGCACCCCACTCGGATCATTCCTCTAATGTTCAGCCTCAGTCACTCTAGTTTCCCAGCCCTCCACAAATTTTCCTGTTCTCCCAATCTATAATCCATTGATCCTGCTACCTTTTCACGGCCTCTCAACTTCCTGGTGTTTTTCTTCCTTGCGAAGAAGCTTACACCCCATAGTTAGTCATCAGAGTTATTCCCTGCATACGTCCTCAATTCTCTTACCCCTGACGGTACATCTTACTTGTTTGGCAAAGCCACAAACCTGATTAAATCTGACTGGGAACTTTGTGCTCTCATCCATGTAGCCGAATGGCCTCATTTTATAGTCTTCACCTCACATGGGCTTCCCTAGTCTGTTTATTCTCCCACTCTCTACATGGCTTTATCTCACTTCTCTCCTCATTCCAAATCCCTGACACCTCCTCCTCGATCCTCGTTATTTTTTCCTCCTCAGCCTTTTTGCCTGTTCTGCCCCTTCTCCCAGCCGCTCGTGAGAGTGCCCCAGGCACCCAGACCCCTTCCCCAACTGCACTCACTCCCTTGGCAAGCTCGTTCAGTCGGCTTTAAGACCATTTTTTTTGTG